AAATCAAAATAAATTGGCGTTTGAAGTCCGGATTTCGTTTGGAAATTCCCAGATTTAATTGCATCAATGTCATGCAATTTGATTGCAAGTGTTTTTAATATTTCCGAAGATTCAGCGACCATGATGACCGTTTTGTCAGACTTGTTATTGTCGAATGTGTAGCAAACAATTTATTTTTAAATTTTTCAATAAAAACGAGTTATTCAATCAAAGGTGAATTATGCGGCGTATAAAATTTTATCAGTAGACACTAACCTCACATGTGTCGATCATATGGTTTTAAACAAATGTATATGGTGTTATGTATATAAGTCCATTGACAATGAAATGCCGAATAACTGACATATTGACTATGATTCGAAATATTTCCGTTCGTAGCTTTCAAGATGTACGCACTTGAAAAAGGGTCCAAGCAAAGTTTTTCAATAATTCGCTTTTTTGCCAGTGTCGAACGAATAACAAGCAAATTGTCAATTTATTTTCATTAAAAATACAAAGGTCGTTTAACTAATTTCAAGTGTCGAAGTGCATTCAAATTGCTTGAAATAAATGAGAAAACCAAAATCTTACAACCTGGTCAAACAGTCATTGATTGCGGAGCATCGCCGGGTTCGTGGACGAAAAGAGCAGTGAGCAAAACTAATGCTAATGGGAAAATGAAGAACAAACCAAAGGGATTTGTTATCGGGATTGATATGCTATCGATTCATCCCATAGAGGTAAACCAAAAAAAAATCTTGTCCAATCCTTTTTTTTCAATTTATATTTCAACTACCTTTGGTTTTTATTCAAACAGGGCGCTCATTTGCTATGCCATTCAGATTTTACTCTCACAAAGACCCAAGATCAAATTCGAGAACTTTTGAAAGGACGAAAAACCGATTGTGTACTCTCTGATATGGCACCAAATTCAACTGGTGTTCGAAGATCAAGACAAAATTATGGACTTAGTATACAATGTCTTACGGTTTGCCATTTTAATGTCATCCGAAAATGCCAACCTCTTGGTCAAAGTTTGGGACAATGGAAATGTGAAGAAATTCGAAGAGATTGCACTTCGTTATTATAAAACTTTTAAACACATAAAACCGGAAGCGTCGAGAAGCGATTCAGCCGAAAAATTTCTTCTGGCCAAAGATTTTCGAGGATTTAAAAATATTACCAATTCCAAAATAGAAAATAAATAAGGAGTTCACTATCATTGTTATTTATATTTTTTGAGACCAAAAAAAATATCATTGAAAATGGAGAATTTTTGGATGATTGTGGATCGATACCCATCTTCTATATCATCCTGCACTCAATTTCCATAAATAAATGTCTGTCTATCAAATCAAATAAGATTATTACTCGTATGAAAAAACACAGATTATATGGTGCTGGGATTGCTTATGTTTGTATTCGTTTTTGTGCTCTTGCACTAATGATTTCAATTTACTATTCGAATGGTAAAAGTAAATTATAAAATCACTTTATTTTCTACTATCGTGATCACTTGTCATTCGAAAAATATCAAGATTATAGCCAAAGTGCTCAGAATTATTCAAATTTACTTGATATTAGTTTTATCTAACTCAAGCAGTTCTCCTGTAAATGTTCCAATTTAAAAACTTACCAACACAAAAACACATATAACATCTCAATTCAGTCCCTTTCAGGCTACAAAGCAAAAAATGTAAGCGGTTCGTTTTATTGGTAAAGAATATACTCAAGTTTATTCATTACGTTATTTTTTTTAAATAAATTGTGAATAATAAAAAATTTCTTGCAATTTTGAAATTTTGAAAGTCATGGATTTTTTTTTTTGAATTTATAGGTCTTTTTGAATAGATTAACACAGAAACAATTCATTTAAGTATTTTATTGTCATAATTATATCGTCT